TCAACGGTCGCCAAGTAGCTGGGGGGATTACAGCGATGGGACCAACCACCACCTGCTAATTTTTGTATTCTTTAATAGAGACTGGGGTTGTTGCCTTGTGGGTCCAGGCTGGTCTCATAACTCTTGGACTCTCAAGTCGATCCCATTGCTGCCTCGGCCTACCCAAAGTTGCCGGATTACAGTGTGAGCCACGTGCAACCTGGCTGACACTTTGTCTTTCATAAATCCAACAACCCCAGTTACCATGCCTAAGATGAACGGAACAATTATTTAACTACTGATGAATACTGAATTCCGCCATGTTCAAATTTCCCCCAATTCTCTGGGAAAACATCTGTTTTGTTAGTTTTTCGAAGCTTGAAACATTTGTAATGGTAGGATTTCTTTTTTTTTTTTTTTTTCAGGACGAGTCTTGTCTGTCACCCAGGCTGGATGTGCACTGTGGCCAGATATCTCAGTCTCACTTGGCAAGCTCCGCCTTCCGGGTTTCCGCCAGTTTCTCCTGGCCTTCAGCCTGCCGAGTAGCTGCTGGGACGTACCACGGCGCGCGCCACCTCACCGTGGCTAGGTTTTTTTGTATTTTTTAGTAGAGACCGACCAGGGTTTCACCGCGTTGTTAGCCAGGATTGTGTCTCGATCTCCTGACCTGTTGTGAGTCCGCCCGTTCGGGCCTCCCCAAAGTGCTAGGAATTACAGGCTTAGCCACCGCGCCGGCCAATGGTAGATTTTTCAAAACAATTTTTTAGAGTGTAACTGGAGGCTTGAGGCAGATGGATCACTTGAAACAGGAGTTGAGACCAGCCCTGGCCACATGGTGGAACCTCTCTACTGAAAAATACAAAATTAGCGGGGCGATGGTGGTATCTGAGGCAGCAGAATTGCTTGAATTCAGGAGGCAGAGGTTGCAGTGTGCCCAGACTACGCCATTACACTCCAGCCTGGGCAACAGAGTGAGACTCCATCTCAAAAAAAAAGGAAAAAAAGAAAAGGAAAAAAAAGACAGGGTCTCACTCTATCATCCAGCCTGGAGTGCGGTGGTGTGATCACAGCTCACTGCAGCCTCCACCTCCCACCTCAATTGTTCCAGGTAAGTAGGTGGGACTACAGGTGTGCACCTCCACACCTGGCTAATTTTTTTTTGTTTTTGTAGAGATGGGGTTTTGCCATGTTGCCCTGGCTGGTCTCAAACTCCTGGGCTCAAGTGATCTGCCTGCCTCAGCCTCCTTAAGTGATGGGATTACAGGCGTTAGCCACTATGCCTGGTCAATGTCTTTATTCTTGAGAGATGCATGCTGTCTGAAACTTATTTCAAAAGGTTCAGCCAAAAAAAATCATTATATACATGTTAAAAGTATACATGTATACACACACACATATATAGAAAATAAATGTGGCAAAATGTTAACAATGTTTTAATTTTTGATCTAGATGAAATATAAACAGATATTCATTATATTATTTTTTCTTCTTTCACCTTTTCCGAAGGTTTCAAATGTTTCATAATTAAAACGTTAGGAAAGAAGTGACACTCAAAAACCATGTTACAAAGCTGTTTAAAATAGTTTAGGTCCAGGCACAGTGGCACACACTTGTAATCCCAGCATCATGGGAGGCCGAAGTGGGCGGATCATCTGAGGTCAGGAGTTGGAGACAAGCAAGGCCAACATGGTGAAACCCTGTCTCTACTCAAAAAATAAAAAAACTAGCCGGGCGTAGTGGGGGGCGCCTGTAATCCCAGCTACTCAGCAGGCTGAGGCAAGAGAATCATTTGAACTCAGGAGGCAGAGGTTGTAGTGAGCCGAGATTGGGCCACTGGACTCCAGCCTGGGTGACAGAATGAGACTCCGTCTCAAAACACCAAACAGTTTAGAAAGACTCTTATAAAAGAATAAACAAAAACAAGCAACATGAAACTAGATAAATATGGATTTTTTGAATGTTAAAAAAACATGTTTTCTACCAATTCTCCCTAAAGCAGGCATATACTTATCTGGCAGGATAACTTAAATATCTGAGAACTTCTGGGAGAGGTTGCTATAAAGTTTCTTTGCCCTCCTACCCAAATTTTATTTGTCTTTAACGAATTGGAATTTGTGTTAGCATACGGGCTGTTCTCTCCTGTAGCTTGAATGTGCGATAGCAAAAACATCTGAACTTTACCTTGAATCTTCACAGAGATCAAGAACGTTAGGTACAGGTACTCCAGCATTTGCAAGGGCTTTCATAATCCTGCCAGGACAAATGAAAATAAACAAAACTGCCGGCTGAATTGATGAGATTTTCTTCAAGTTACTTTTCTTTGTTTGTTTGTTTGTTTTGTTTTTTGAGACACAGTCTTGCTCTGTTGCCCAGGTTGGAGTGCAGTGGCGCGATCTTGGCTCACTGCAACCTCCACTTCCTGAGTTCAAGCCATTCTCAGGACTCAGTCTCCTGAGTAGCTGGGATTACAGATGTGCACCACCACGCCCAGCTAATTTTTGTATCTTTAGTAGAGACAAGGTTTCGCCATGTTGGCCAGGCTGGTCTCAAATTCCTGACCTTAGGTGATCCACCTGCCTCAGCCTCCCAAAGTCCTGGGATTACAGGCATAAGCCACTGCGCCTGGCCTGAAGTTACTTTTCTGAATTAAAAATGGTACATAAATTAAAATGAAATTCTAAAAAATATTCAATTGACCCAAAAGTAAGTAAGAACAAAAAAAATGATGGGACAAACAAAAAACCAATGGTGAAATTGTAGACCTAAATCAAACATATCAATAATTACATTAAACTCAATAGATGAATAGATTCCAATTAAAAGACAGAAGTTGGTTGGACATGGTGGCTCCTGCCTGTCTCAACTAAAAATACAAAAATTAGCCAGGCATGGTGGCGTGCACCTGTAATCCCAGCTACTTGGGTGGCTGAAGCATGAGAATCACTTGAACCCAGGAGGTGGAGGTTGCAGTGAGCCAAGATCGTTCCACTGTGTTCTCGCGTGGGTGACAGAGTGAGACTCCATCTCAAAAATCAAAAAAACAAATGAAATAAAATAAAAATAAAAGACAGAAGTTTTCAGTCTGGACAGAAAAGCATGACCTAATTATATGATGTCTACAAGAGATATGCGCTGAATATATAAACATAGATAGATTGCAAAAACAAGAATGGAAATGGAAGCATTATGCAATCACTAAGCATAAGAAAGCTGGTGTGGCTACTTTAATATCAAATAAAGCAGGCTTTACAACAGTGTACCACCAGAGACAAAAAGAGACATTTGAAAATGATACAACTGCAAGTTCATCAGAAAGGTATTACAATCACAAATATGTACATGCTGAACAACAGAGCTTCAAAATACGTCAAGTAAAAATGATCAAAATTAAAGAGAAAAAAATGAAGAAATCCACAAGTCTTAGCTGAGATTTTAACACTCCTTTCACAGTAATGATAGAATTAGACAAAACTAGATTTATCTAAAGACATATATCTGAACCCACTACCAACCAACCTGATCTGATGGATATTTGTATACCACTAACTCAGATATTGCAAAATATACATTATTTTCAAGTAAACACAATATGTTTACCAAGATAAGTCATGTGCTGGTCCATAAAATAAATCTCAATAAATTTCAATAAAAATTAAAATCTAGCCCAGCACGGTAGCTCACACCTATAATCCTAGCACTTTGGGAGGCCAAGGTGGGCAGATTACCTGAAGTCAGGAGTTCAACATCAGCCTGGCCAATATGGCAAAACCCTGTCTCTATTAAAAGTACAAAAATTAGGGCTGTGCATGGTGGCTCAAACCTGTAATCCCAGCACTTTCGGAGGCCGAGGTGGGCGGATCACAAGGTCAGGAGATTGAGACCATCCTGGCTAACATGGTGAAACCCGTCTCTACTAAAGATACAAAAAAAATTAGCCAGGTGTGGTGGCAGGCGCCTGTAGTCCCAGCTACTCGCAAGGCTGAGGCAGGAGAATGGCGTGAACCCAGGAAGCAGAGCTTGTAGTGGGCTGAAATCATGCCACTGCACTCCAGCCTGGGCAATAGAGCGAGACTCCGTCTCAAAAAAATAATAATAATAATACAAAAATTAGTCAGGCATGGTGCCTCACACCTGTACTTCTACCTACTCAGAAGGCTGAGGCAGGAGAATCACTTGAACCCAGGACGCGGAGGTTGCAGTGAACCGAGATCATGCCACTGCAATGAAGACTGGGCGACAAGAGCGAAACTCCGTCTCAAAAAATAACAAACAAAAGGCTGGGCGCGGTGACTCACGCCTGTAATCCCAGCACTTTGGGAGGCTGAGGCGGGTGGATCACGAGGTCAGGAGATCGAGACCATCCTGGCCAACATGGTGAAACCCCATCTCCACTAAAAATACAAAAATTAGCCAGGCATGGTGGTGTGTGCCTGCAGTCCCAGCTACCCAGGAGGCTGAGGCAGAAGAATCGCTTGAACCTGGGAGGCAGAGGTTGCAGTGAGCCAAGATCGCACCACTGCACTCCAGCCTGGGCGACAGAGCGAGACTCCATCTCAAAAAAATAATAATAATAATACAAAAATTAGTCAGGCATGGTGCCTCACACCTGTACTTCTACCTACTCAGAAGGCTGAGGCAGGAGAATCACTTGAACCCAGGAGGCGGAGGTTGCAGTGAGCCGAGATCATGCCACTGAACTCCAGCCTGGGCAACAAGAGCAAAAACTCCACCTCAAAACAAAACAAACAATAGAAAAAAGTAACAAAACAAACTGTGGTTCCCAGATCAATGTGATTGATAAACCCCTAGCTAGACTAACGAGAGAGAGAATACAAATTATCAATCAATACCAGCAGTGATAAAGAAAGGATATCACTAGGGTGGGCACAGTGGCTCACGCCTGTAATCGCAGCACTCTGGGAGGCCGAGGCAGGTGAATCACTTGAGGTCAGGGGTTGTAGACCAGCCAGGCCAACATGGTGAAACCCCACCTCTACTAAAAATAGTAAATTAGCTGGGCATGGTGGCACATGCCTGTAATCCCTGTTACTTGAGAGGCTAAGGCAGGAGAATCACTTGGACTTGGGAGGTGGAGGTGGCAATGAGCCAAGATCATGCCACTGCACTCCAGCCTGGGCGACAGAAAAAAAAAAAAAAGGATATCACTATAGATCCTACATATATTAAAAGGATAGTAAGGGAATATGATAAATAATAAATTCAATAGCTTGGGTGATATGAACAGACTCCTTAGAAATTACAACTTACCAAAACTAAAACAAGATGAAATAAAATATCTGAGTAACAATATTTTTATTAAATTAATAATCAAAAACCTTGGCCAGGCACGCTGGCTCCTGCCTGTAATCCCCAAAACTTTGGGAGGTCAACGTGGGAGGACTGCTTGAGGCCAAGAGTTCAAGCAATATAGTAAGGCCCCATTTCTACAAAAAAATTTTTTAAACTAGCCAGGCATGATGGTATGTACCTGTAGTACTTGGGAGGCTGAGGCAGGAGAATCACTTGAGCCCAGGAGTTCAAGTTTATAGTGAGGTATCATCGCACCACTGTACTCCAGCCTAGGCAACAGTGACTCTCTGCCTAAAAAAAAAAAATCAGCTAATACTATATATGCGATTTGTATCTGCCTTTACTATCTTAAAATTTTATCATACACATTTGTTATTATAGGCATAGTTTTACTAGCTGCAATAACAGCATAATCATTAAGGGTGAGCTATGAAATCTGATGGACTGGCTATAAAGCTAGACTCTAGCACTTGCTTACTAGTTTTATGACCCCGGGTATGCTGGTTAATCTTTTTTTTTTTTTTTTTTTGAGACAGCGTCTCACTTTGTGAGTGCAGTGGTACGATCTCAGCTCACTACACCTCTGCTTCCTGAGTTCAAGTGATTCTCCAGCCTCAGCCTCCCATGTAGCTGGGACTACAGGTGCAAGGCACCAACACCTGGCTAATTTTTGTATTTTTTGTAGTCAGGGTTTCACTATGTTGCCCAGACTGGGCTCGAACTCCTGAGCTCAAAGCAATCTGCCTGCCTTGGTTTCTTTAAGCCTCACTCCTCCTAGTCATAAATGAGGATTATAACAGTAACATATCATAGAGTTGTGAGGATGCTCTGCAGTAACAAGACATTCAAAGCATTTATTTTAGTGCCTGGCACACACTAAACATTCAATAAATGTTAGCTATTACTATTTCTGTCATTGCAACGAGTAGATATACCAAGGTTTACTTATTTCCTGATTATGGTACAGATTATAGTACAGATTATAGTACATTTAAGTAGTTTCCAAACTCTTTTGTTTGTTTCTTGAGACAGAGTCTCACTCTGTCACACAGCCTGGAGTGTGCAGTGGTGCCATCTCGGCTCAGTGCAGCCTCCACCTCCCAGGTTCAAGAGATCCTCTCACCTCAGCCTGCTGAGTAGATGGAACTACAGGCATATGCCACCACACCCATCTAACTATTTGTATTTTTGGTAGAGACAGGTTTTCACTATGTTGTCCAGGCTGGTCTTAAACTCCTGAGCTCAAGTGATCCACCTGCCTCAGCCTCCCAAAGTGCTGGGACTACATTAGCTACTGCTCCTGGCCTTCCAAATTCTTATTAAACAACTTTGTGGTGAGCATATTAATACATAAAGCTGTTTCCCCCTACTTAGAATTATTTCTTTAAGACAGAGACCCAGAATTGGAATTACTAGGTCTAAAAGCATGAAAACGCTGAGGCTTTTAATAAATTGTATCATATTGTTTTCCAGAATAGTTCTAATTTACATTTGGCTTTTTTGGGGATTGGGGCAGGGTCTCACAATGTCTCCCAGGCGGGAATGCAATGACGCCACAGTAACTCACTATAGCCTCAACCTCCCAGCTCAAGCAATCCTCCCACCTCAGCCTCCTGAGTAAGTGGGACTACAGGTTCGTGCCACCACGAGCAGGCTAATTCTTTTTTTTTTTTTTTTGGTAGAGACAGGGTTTTGCCACATTGCCTAGGCTGGTCTTGACCTCTTGGGCTCAATGATCCTCCTGCCTCGGTCTCCCAAGGCACTGGGATTATAGGTGTGACCCACAAAACCTGGTCCATAACTGTAGTTTTAAATGTCTTGGGGTGTTTTTATGGAGTGCTGACTTTTCTGTTTAGGGCTGAGCTTGTGCACGGTGGAGGCTGGTGGGCAAGTGCTCCCCTGGCCCTGAAAACTTACCTGAACTCCCTCTCTATGGCATGGGCAGATGGAAGGAGTGTCCCTGGGGGCTTCTTCCTCAGAACCAGATCACGATTAGCCAGCCTGATGTAGTAAGTTGGATTTGACTGCCCGTGATCAAACTGAAGGAGTTCCAATGGGCCTGCAAGTTTGAAAACAAAGAAAACTCAAACCAGCCCTGGACGACAGATCTGAGCAGACATTCTTTCTTTCTAATGAGTTCTGCATTTGGGCTTCAAAATATCCTCATCTGCCATGCAGTGCAAGAAAAGCACCTCTTACCTGCCTACCAGGAGTGACTGAGTCCCAGGTCTACACCCCGCCAACTCAGGTCCAGGATCACATGCCACTACAGTTTGTCAAAGGCCATTCATTTTATACCACAGTAATTTTCTCATTTTGTGCAGGTGTCCAATTTTGTCCTTCCTGCCAACTCCTGCTCCATGAATAAAAACATGCTCATTCTGTTTATCAAGCACAAATGCAGCCATGGCAACCCATCTTGCTAAATAGAATGCTTTAAGCCTGAGGATGAAAGGTGCCCTTGCACGTCCCTCTGCCTGACACTGCTGGGACAGCTGAAAGGAGTGACACAGAGGCCTTTGGCCTGACACAAAGCTGCTTTCATGAGATGCAATTTCCCACTGCACTAGGCTGAATTCCATGGCTCCCTTGCAGGATCCTGGCTGAGGTGAAAGTAATTCATTCTCAGCTCCATAAGAAGACTGAACCCTGGGTGTACATTGATTTCACTTGGTTAGAAGAGCAGGCAAGCAACAGAAGTCTGCCTGAGTTCTTCCGGCTGGCCAGAGTGGGTGCCACAGCTGTGCAGAGGCCACTACCAATAATCCAATTGCTGGAAAACATCCTAATGTGAAACTCTATCAATAAAAGCCCTTTTCAAGGAGCAAGTGGGTGAAACCTTTATCACCTGGGAAAAATGTCTTCTTTGGCCGGGAGCAGAGGCTCATGCCTGTAATCCCAGCCCTTTGGGAGGCCAAGGCGGGTGGATCACCTGAGATCAGGAATTTGAGACCAGCCTGACCAACATAGTGAAACCCCATCTCTACTAAAAATATAAAAATTAACCAGGCATGGTAGCGGGTGCCTGTAATCCGAGCTACTTGGGAGGCTGAGGCAGGAGAATCACTAGAACCCAAGAGGTGGAGGTTGCAGTGAGCTGAGATCATGCCATTGCACTCCAGCCTGGGCAACAAGGGCAAAACTCCATCTCAAAAAAAATTAAATTAAATTAAAAAAAATTTTTAAGTATCTTTTTTTGTTTTGTTTTTGAAATGGAGTCTTGCTCTGTCATCCAGGCTGGAGTGCAGTGGCACTGTCTCAGCTCACTGCAACCTCTGCTTCCTGGGATCAAGCGATTCTCCTGCCTTAGCCTCCCCAGTAGCTGGGACTACAGGCATGCGCCACCACACTCAGCTAATTTTTGTATTTTTAGTAGAGATGGAGTTTTCCCATGTTGACCAAGCTGGTCTCAAACTCCTGGCCTCAAGTGATCTGTCCACCTCAGTCTCCCAAAGTGCTAGGATTATAGGCATGAGTCACCACCCCTGACCCAAAAGTGTCCTCTAAAGCACACAAGGCACCTGGTTTTCTGAGGGCGGAATGTGAAGGAGGAAAGAGAAAACTTCTCTCCAAGAAATGGAGACAACTTGTTGCATTTTAAAATCATGCAACCTTTTTTTTTTTTTTGAGAGAGTCTTGCTCTGTTGCCCAGGCTGCAGTGCAGTGGCACGATCTCAGCTCACTGCAACCTCCACCTCCTAGGTTCAAGTGATTCTCCTGAGTAGCTAGGACTACAGGCATGTGCCACCATGCCCAGCTAATTTTTGTATTTTTCCTTTTTTTTGGAGGGGGGATGGAGTCTTGCTCTGTCGCCCAGGCTGGAGTGCAGTGGCACTATCTTAGCTCACTGCAACCTCGGTCTCCCGGGTTCAAGTGATACTCCTGCCTCAGCCTCCCAAGTAGCTGGGATTACAGGCACCCGCCAAAACGCCCGGCTAATTTTTGTATTTTTAGTAGAGATGGGGTTTCACCATGTTGGCCAGGCTGACCTCGAACTTCTGACTTCAGGTGATCCACCTGCCTCAGCCTCCCAAAGTGCTGGGATTATAGGCGTGAGCCACTGAGCCTGGCCCCCTTTTATTCTTTTTCTTTTTTTTTTTTAAGAGGGAGTCTCACTCTATCACCCACGCTAGAGTGCAGTGGCGCAATATAGGCTCACTGCAACCACTGCCTCCCGGGTTAAAGCGATTGTTGTGCCTCAGTCTCCAGAGCAGCTGGGACTATAGTTGTGCACCACCACATCCAGCTAATTTTTGTATTTTTACTAGAGACAAGGTTTCACATTGTTGGTCAGGCTGGTCTCGAACTCCTGGCCTCAAGTGATCTGCCTGCCTCGGCCTCCCAAAATGCTGGAATTACAGGAGTGAGCCACTACACCCTGGTCACCAATGCAAATTCTTTTTTTTTTTCCTGAGATAGAGTCTTGCTCTGTTGCCCAGGCTGGAGTACAGCAGCACAATCTCGGCTGACTGCAACCTCTGCCTCCTGGGTTCAAGCAATTCTCCTGCCTCAGCCTCCTGAGTATCTGGGATTACAGGCACCCACCACTATACCCAGTTAATTTTTGTATTTTTAGTAGAAACAAGGTTTCACCAAGTTGGCCAGGCTGGTCTCGAACTCCTGACCTCGTGATCTACCTGCCTCGGCCTCCTAAAGTGCTGGGATTACAGGCGTGAGCCACCGTACCCCGCCTGCCAATGTAACTCTAAGTCATCTTCACAAAATGGGCTGTCGTCTCAAAGCATTAGAAACTGTAAAATCCTCTGAGCACATACTGCAGTCCCCAAGTTCCTCTCCCTGTTGAAAGCAGGCAACCACTGCCATACCACACTCTCAGGTGTAAGAGTGGGATAGGTATACTTTTGGAGATCCATAAATAGGGAAGTTAATGCTTTTTCCCAAGCAAAACTGAAAGCAGTGCTCAGATGCACCAGGCCCAATGGCTATTTTCCTCACTGTAAAGCTTCTTTGTCTCCAGCCCATTCCATTAGGGTTGAAAAGTGAGAAACAGACCAAAACCTTCGCCTCGGAGAGAGTTACCAAAACATGAAAGACACCCACATACCTGTGGTCTGGATACCCAGTAAGTCTTTGAGGTACTTCTTCAAGGAATCTTTCGGAATTTCCATCGTCTTTCTCACAGGCTGAGTGTTTGGAACACCTAGTCTCAATGTAAAACCCAAGAGAGCTTCTAATTCCTTTACTGCAGTCTCTGGGTCATTAACCTGGTTTCAGAGAGAATATGTATATGTATATATTTTGTTGTTGTTATTTTTCCCTTCTTTTCACAGAATGTTGAGAATATATATACATTTTTTTTTAAACTTTACAATTCATGGTAGTACAGGTGTAGAGAATATATATTGAACAGGTGTCAGCAGTCAACCCTGGCCTCAGGGGCTCCTATCTGTTTCCTAGGAGGTGTCCGAAATGTTTGTTCCCCAGTGCCGTAAAGACATAGCACTTGAACACAAATTTAATTTACTCAGGAAGGCCATTTTTACTTCCTGCAGAAAGGGTACACTCGCCAGCAGTTTTGCCACAAGAGTACACCAAACAAAGGAGACAGGGTCATTTATAACCTGACGCATCCACCCTACTGCTGTGTCTGGTTTCGCTGGAATGGGACTTTTAAATTCTGTATTTATCCTGATTGGCTAGCAACTTAGAACTTTTTTTTTTTTTTGAGATAGAAGTCTCACTCTTTCGCCCAGGCCGGACTGCTGTGGCGCTATCTTGCCTCACTGCAAACTCTGCCTCCTGGGTTCATGCCATTCTCCTGCCTCGGTCTCCTGAGTAGCTGGGACTAAAGGCGCCCGCCACTGCGCCTGGCTAATTTTTTATATTTTTAGTAGAGACAGGGTTTCACCGTGTTAGCCAGGATGGTCTCCATCTCCTGACTTCATGATCCACCCGCCTGGGCCTCCCAACTGGAGTGTTGGTGTATATGGCGTGCGCCACCGCACCCGGCCTAGAACTTTTGAAAAGAGGGCAAGGTAGAGGAGAACAAAGGAAGGAAGAAGTAACTTGTGGAATGCTGAGAAAAGTAAAAACACCTTCAAAAAGGAAGAGGAACAGGCTATGACCTAATGCTTGCTTGGACCAGTATAAGCATGCCAGGGCAAATATTTAGGCTAAATTTGTGGGGATAAAGAACATAAAGTACATGATTTTCTTTATCACAGCTAGCAGATATTTAAGAATGCTAGCGCAAGGGTCTTCAGAATAACGATTTTTGCTTCTAAGGGAGAGGAGTTAGTAGTTTATTGCCTACTTAAGGTGGGGAGAATGAGTCTTGAAGAGGGGACCCTCTTTCTTACTTTTTACAATTCCCCCTCTTTTATTTTATAATTTCTCTTCAAATTGGTTTAATACGTTTTGATTTAATTGCTTTGTTTGTCCCTCTAATAGAAATAATTTTTCCCAAATAGGGTGAAGGAGAGTTTAGGAGTTATACGTCTGTTACAGAATGGGCAGAGACAAGATTTTGTATAAAACTTCAAAGGCTGGGCGCGGTGGCTCATGCCTGTAATCCCAGCACTTTGGGAGGCTGAAGCAGGCAGATCACGAGGTCAGGAGTTTGAGACCAGCCTGACCAACATGGTGAAACCCCGTCACTACTAAAAATACAAAAATATTAACCGGGGATGGTGGTGTGTGACTGTAATCCCAGCTACTCAGGGGGCTGAGGCAGGAGATCACTGGAACCCAGGAGGCAGAGGTTGCAGTGAGCCGAGATTGAGCCACTGCACTCCAGCCTAGGCAACAGAGTGAGACTCTGTCTCAAAACAAACAAATAGCAGGGCGCGGTGACTCACGCCTGTAATCCCAGCACTTTGGGAGGCCGAGACGGGCGGATCACGAGGTCAGGAGATCGAGACCATCCTGGCTAACACTGTGAAACCCCGTCTCTACTAAAAATACAAAAAATCAGCCGGGCGTGGTGGCGGGCACCTGTAGTCTCAGCTACTCAGGAGGCTGAAGCAGGAGAATGGCGTGAATCGGGGGGCGGGGAGCTTGCAGTGAGCCGAGATCGCGCCACTGCACTCCAGCCTGGGTGACAGAGTGAGACTCCATCTCAAAAAAAAAAAAAAAACCTTTGAAGGCCGGGAATAATATAACAGCCTACAAGAATAAGGACACCAATAACAAGAGCAAACGAGGTGAGAACTGAAGTTAAAACTTCTTTTTATCCACTGAACCAATGTTTTATTATTTTAGAAAATGGGTGATTTATTTTAGAATTTTTGGCAAGTTTATCAGATAGGGAGGTTAATACTGTAGCACTTTTGTTATAGTCCATCAGGGACAGTATTATTAGGAACGAAGGTACAATAGTGAGTTTTAATTATGAAACAAACATCTTTTTTTTTTTGCTAATATTATTATTTTTTTTGAGATGGAGTCTTGCTCTGTCATCCAGGCTGGAGTGCAATGGTGCAATCTTGGTTCACTGCAAGCTCTGCCTCCTGGGTGAACACCCCCACAAAGGTCTTAAGCCTACCATTCACCTCCTTTCCTATCTCTTTTCTCAAGCTGCCTTCTCAGTACCTGTTTGTCTTGCTTCTCATTGAAAATTCAAGCAGCTAGTCACATAGATTTCATAATTAACACAAAATAAGATGACTATGGAAATGTAGGGGGAAACCCTAAGGAAAGCTAGAGCTACAAATGTAAAAAGATTACAGAGAAATATGTTGCACTAGTGGCTCGTGCATGGGAGGGGGTTCAAAAAATAGTGACTATTACCTTAATGGTGTGAATACCAAGGCTGGCAGCTGCTTTTAGATTTGGTCCAAGGTCATCAAGAAAGATAGACTCAGAGGGCTGCAGGCCGAGCCGCTCCAAGCACAGCTTGTAGATCCTAGGGTCTGGCTTACAGATTCCTTCCACGCAGGACTCCACGACCTGATGGAGGGACGGGAATGAGAGATGAATGTCCCTAAAGGTGGAGCTCCCACATGCATGCTGGTAAACTTTTTGAAAGGAAAAGCATAAGAAGGACAGTTGAGATTTATTATAACAAGTAATTTAAGATTGTTATGATATAAAATGATGTTGCCTTCTTAAATTGAGGAATTTGACAATACTGGGTTACAACATGGGGGCAAACTCGAGAAACCAAAATGTCTGTTTCAGATACTGTGACCCTGTGCAAACAAGCAAAGCTATAATGGGCCTCAGTGTCATCATCAACAAAATGGGAAGAATATTAATAGTCATCTTACCTATCTTAGCTCAGTAAGTCGTGAAACTTAAATGAAACTTAAGTGAGTTCCAAAATGACAAAGCATTTGGCTAATGTCACATCCTGGGGCTAAACAAAGCAGAAGAAAAGCTGTACATGTCAGCTTTATGGGAAGTAGTTCACCATTTTTTTTTTTTTTTCAGAAAGAAGACACTGTCACAGGTATAAAATAAATACGAACTTAGTGTTTATTTTAGAGGTTTAAAAACCTATCCATACTCCATTTAGACAGAAATTCCATGGGAGGGCTGACACTGTTCCTGACATGCTAAGAGGCTCCTATACTCTGATGACCTTGCTTCAGCCACGTATCTGATCTGCAATGGGTAGAGGGTGCTGGTGAGAGTACAGGAGAACCCGGGAAAGCCTTCTCAGTGTCAGGCTGTCTCTGATCCACTGATTCCCCGAAAGTCCTTTTAGTGTCCCCAGGGCTTAATCTCCTATAGTGTGGCCTATAACCAATACCCTCTGATCTGTCCTAAGAACAGAACTAAATCTCTGACTTGCCATTTGGAATGACCCAGGCTCTCCAAGGCCAAGGACAAATCCAATGGCCCCTCTCTCTATCCCACACTTGCATTCTGGGTTGGGTGAGAACTGCCCTTTCAGGTAAATAAATGTCCAGAATAAACTGGACCTTTCTACTTTCTCTTGTCTTCTAAGGACCTGAATGAGCTAAAAAAAAAAAAAAAAAAAAAAAACTCTAAGAAGCTACCCTAAAGAAAACGTCAATAGTGAGAAGTACAGAAGCAGGGTGTCTCAGACACCGATCGATGTAACGTACCAGATGGAAGCGGCAGAGCTGTACTGGCTGAGACAAGAGACAGGAAAGTGGAGGGAACTGTGGGGGATGGGGCAAAGTTCCAGGAAGCAGACAGCTCCTCTCACTAGGTGAATTACATTTGGGGGAAGTAAAATAAATTCTTAAGATTTGTTTGATAAGATCTCTAGCCTTCTTTTTCTGTTCTATTTTGCACATGATGGCATGAACTTATTCAGGGTTTCTATTACTTTCTTGGCAAACCAGGAACTGTGGGAACAAGGCCAGTGTTTTTCCAAATGTGGATCAGATAAAAATGATTTTATTTACCAAGGCTCTATCCCAGGAAGATGGAGGGGAAGCCTCCTTCTCAAGGTAAGCATGACGGAGGCTGTGTGGTAAGACAGAAACATGGACAGAATCCGAAGTCCAAGTCCCTCACTGCATCTTGGGGTGTCTCACCCCAGCTGCACGGCAGAATCACCTGTGGAGCTTTTTTGAAATACACATGCCTGGATCCCAACTAGACATACTCAACAAAAGCCTCCAGGGAAACAGACCCAGAATCTTTACAAACTTCCAGGTCATGTGATGTGTAGGCAGAGTTGAAAATCTTTAATTTCACTGGCCCAACGAAGGGTACAAATACAGCCAGGCATAGGCAGATGTAGGGCTAAGGGAATATGCCACTTCCTGGAGTCCAGCCAAAGTAGCTCTTCCAAAGATGGAAAGAATCAGAACGGGGCTCTGGTAGCAAAATGTCCAATACTTGAGTTATCAGAGAAATTTCATCCAATGTGTTCCAGAGGTTACCATGACTCTCACTATATTTGGTGATCTGTTCCCTTTTGCACTGACTCGGAATATCTTTGGAGCAATGGGCCAGGGGAAGGGTTCTTCTGATCCATCACAACTCTAAAAGGTGCTGGAAGATCAACTGCCAATCTGGGCTTTGGAGTCTCTAAAGGGAATTATCACTGCTGTTGGTTATAAGACAAAAACAAACATTTTTAAAAGTATTCAAATAGGGCCGGGCATGGTGGTTCATGCCTGTAATCTCAGCACTTTGGGAGGCTGAGGTGGGTTGATCATTTGAGGTCAGAAGTTTGAGACCACCCTGGCCAACATGGTGAAACCTGGTCTCTAATATTAATAAAAAACAAAAACTAGCCAGGCGTGGTGGCATGCACCTATAGTCTCAGCTACTAAGAGGCTGAGGCACAAGAATTGCTTGAATCTGGGAGGTGGAGGATGCAATGAACTGAGACTGAGCCACTGAACTCCAACCTGGGCGACCGAGAGAGACCCTCTCTCAGGGAAAAAACAAAGAGAGTACCCAAATAGGGGCCAGGCATGGTGGCTCATGCCTGTCATCCCAGCACTTTAGGAGGCCGAGGTGGGTAGATTACTTGAGGTCAGGAGTTCAAACTTTGGAGTCTCTATCCCAGGAAGATGGAGGGGAAGCCTCCTTCTTCCCTGGCCAACATGGTGAAACCCTGTCTCTACTAAAAATTCAGGGGTGGTAGTGCCAGGGGCAGTGCATGCCTGTAATCACAGCTACTCAGGAGGCTGAGACAGGAGAACTGCTTGAGCCTAGAAGAGGGAGGTTACAGTGAGCCGAGATGGTGCCACTGTACTTTAGCCTGGGCAACAGAGCAAGATTGTCTCAAGAAAAAAAAAAAAAAATATATATATATATATATATATATATACACACACACACAAAAATAGGCCAGGCACGGTGGCTCATACTTGTAATCCCAGCACTTTGAAAGGCTGAGATGGGCGGATCACTCGAGGTTGGGAGTTGAAGACCACCCTGGCCAACACGGTGAAACCCCGTCTCTACTAAAAATATAAAAATTAGCCAAGCATGGTGGCACACGTCTGTAATTCCAGCTACTCAGGAGTCTGAGGCATGAGAATGGCTTGAACCTGGGAAGCGGAGGTTGCAGTGAGCTGAGATTGCGCCACTGAACTCCAGCCTGGGTTACAGAGCGAGACTCCATCTCAAAATAAATAAATAAAAATAAATAAATAAGTAAAGTACCCAAATACAGCCAAGCATGTCAAAACTATAGGTTTATCACATGACAGGTTGGGATACACACATGGAGCAGATGGATTTAGTACGGAAGTAAATCAGGCCAAGAAAGGCAGTAAAGTTTTATTGGACAGCACTGGTCTAGGAATTAATGTCACAGAAATAGAAGGCAACATAGTTCGTCTTAGAAAAGGCCAAAGGATCCATTAAGATGTAAGGGCTGATAGAGATGCTTGTGTTATATGAAGACTAAGGTTCGAATTTAGAATGTAAAGCTGAAGTGTCAACCGGTTATCAAATGCCATAAATGTCTGACCTTGCTAAGAACACAGTATTATTTTAAAAGGTCTGTTTTCAACCTATTGCATTTAAACCTAACTTAGTCAAGTGTCTGAAGGAAAAACTCCCTCACTCAAGACCTGTTAGAAGGCAGCATTTAACGCTGCACCCTGAAGTGAGGGCACAGATTCTGTTCCAATGGTTTTCAATTAGCTCAAGCTTACCACATCAAACTGTTTCCGGTCCAGGGGCAAAAAGCTTTTCTGGTTGGGAAGATAAAAATTATTGCTCAAGACTGCAGTCTGAAGACCTTTTGCCCGAATTTGAGTTATGGCCTCAGTCATCACTGGGAACTGCTTTGCCACTCGCTCACTGGTCAGCAGAGAGAAAAATGAGTCCACAGGCACGGAGGTTTTTGACTAAAAACAGGAGAGGGCAGGGGAGAACAGCAATCATTAAGAGTGACAAACACTCATGGCCAACAGAAAAAAAAAAAAAAGCTTATTCCTGGAGTCCTTCTGCTCTCTGGCTACAGGAGCCGAGGCTCATAGCTTGCTGCCTGCAGGAACTGTGTTTCTCACTTCCTCAGCCCCTGTGCTGAACTCTCATATAAGATTTTTAAAAGTTACCTAGGACTAGAGTTATAGGCTAGGCACAGCGGCTCACACCTATAATCCCAGCATTTTGGGAGGCTGAGGTGGGAGAACTGCTTGAGCTCAGGAGTTTGACACCAGCCTGGGCAACAAAGTGAAATCTAAAAAAAAAGTTTTTTAACTTAGCCAGGCTTGGTGGCGCATACCTGTGGTCCCAGCTACTCAGGGGGCTGAGGTGGGAGGATGGCTTGAGCCTGGGAGACTGGGGCTGCAGTGAGCTACGATCAAGCCATTGCACTCCAGCCTGAGCAACAGAGTAGGGAATGGAGCTATTTATACCAATATTACAATTAAATGAGTTCTTTATTCTGCTCATGGATTGCTAGTCGAAAAAAAAAACCAGCGTATCATAAGAGGATACAGTGAACTCTAAAAGTATATTAAGTATATGTAATTTAATTTTTAATGCTTGAGAAGTCATTTAATGCTTTTTGTATTGCCTCAGCATCACCATTATGAACTTTAGTTTCTGATCAATTTTTTTCTTGTTTTTAAATTCAATCTGTGTGGGTTTTGAAAACTCTTATAAGACCGGGCGCAATGGCTCACGTCTGTAATCCCAGCACTTTGGGAGGCTGAGGCGGGCGGATCACAAAGTCAGGTGATCAAGACCATCCTGGCTAACATGGTAAAACCCTGTCTCTAGTAAAAATGCAAAAAGTTAGCCAAGCGTGATGGCACGCACCTATAGTCCCAGCTACTCGGGAGGCTGAAGCAGGAGAATAGCTTGAACCGAGGAGACGGAGGTTGCAGTGAGCCGAGACCATGCCACTGCACTCCAGCCTGGGCAACAGAGCAAGACTCCGTCTCAAAAAAAAAAAAAAAAAAAGAAAACTCTTATATTATCACATTTCAAAATCTGCAAAGGCAAGTCTGCTATTTTATATATACATATACACACACAGATTTTAGAACAGCTTTACTGAAATATAATTCACATGCCATGCAAGTCACCTATTTAAGGAGTGCAATTCAGTGGTTTTTAATATATTCACAAAGTTGTGCAACCATCACTGCCATCAGTTTTAGGACATTTTCATTACTCTAAAGAGCAAACCAGCCAGGTGTGGTGGCTCACACCTGTAATCCCAGCACTTTGGGAGGCAGAGGCAGGCAGATCACAAGGTCAAGAGATCGAGACCTTCCTGGCCAACATGGTGAAACCCTGTCTCTACTAAAAATACAAAAATTAGCTGGGGCTGGTGGCGCATGCCTGTCCAGCTACTCGGGAGGCTAAGGCAGGAGAATCACTTGAACCCGGGAGGCAGAGGTTGCAGTGAGCTGAGACTGCTCCACTGTACTCCAGCCTGGGTGACAGAGCGAGACTCTGTCTCAAAAAAAATTTTTTTTTTAAAACAGTAAACCATACCCATTAACAGTCACTCCTCATTTCCCCCAAGTCTCCCTGTACTAGAAAACCACCAATCTACTTTCTATCTCTATGGATTTGCCTATTCTGAACATTTCACACAGATGGAATCACATACCATGTGGTCTTTTTTGACTGGCTTCTTTCACTTTGCATGTTTTCAAGGTTTCCTATTATATATACACATATATGTGTATATATATAAATTGTGGAAAATATATGTAACACAAAATTTACCATTTTAACCTTGTTTTTTGTTTTTGAGATGGAGTCTCACTCTGTCACCTAGGCTGGAGTGCAGTGGTGTAATCTCGATCTCAGCTCACTGTAACCTCTGCCTCCCCGGTTCAAGCAATTCTCCTGTCTCAGCCTCCCAAGTAGCTGGGATTACAGATGCCCACCACCACGCCTGGCTAAACTTTATATTTTTAGTAGAGATAGAGTTTCACCATGTTGGCCAGGCTGGTCTTGAACTCCTGACCTCAGGTGATCCGCCCACCTTGGCCTCCCAAAATGCTGGGATCACAGGTATGAGCCACCGCACTTGACCATTTTTAAGTATACAGGGCAGTGGCATTAAGTACAGTCACGTTGTCGTGCAACCATCACCATCACCACCATCTACCTACAGAACTTTTCTTACTATATTTTAAATTATATTTTAGTAGACCCATTACAGTTACATGAGCTATATAAAGAGCTTAGAACAGTGCACAGTACAGAAAAAAATGTTCAATATTATTATTGTTTTAAATAAGCTGTTTTATCAAAGCCATTATGTAGACAGCTCCTGTTTTGGTATCTGTTGGAGGGGAGCTTTCAGGTTGCTGAATGCATGGAGTTGCTGGGAGAAGGGTGGCAGGCCCAGAAAGGGTACAATGGCTCTAAAACCTTTGCCCCCAGGTATCTTGTTATCTGGCTGTTCTTTCGTATCCTTCATAATATCCTTTATAATACACTAGAAAACATTAAAAAAATATATGCTGGCTGGGCGCGGTGGCTCAAGCCTGTAATCCCAGCACTTTGGGAGGCCGAGACGGGCGGATCACGAGGTCAGGAGATCAAGACCATCCTGGCTACACGGGGTGAAAACGCCCGGCTCTACTTTAAAAAAATACAAAAAAACTAGCCGGGCAAGGTGGGGCGGGTTGTGTAGTCCCAGCTACTCAGGGAGGCTGAGGCAGGAGGAATGGCGGTGAACCCGGGAGGCGGAGCTTGCAGTTAAGCGTGAGATCCTGCCACTGCACTCCAGCCTGGGCGGACAGGAGCAAGACTCCGTCTCAAAAAAAAAAAAAAAAAAAAAAATATATATATATATATCATATTATGTAATATGCTTGGAGGAAACTTAGTAAAAGATTTTTTTTTTTTTTTTTTGAGACAGAGTCTTGTTATGGTTGCCAGGCTTGCAGTTGCAGTGCATGGGTCTCGCGCTCCCGCTTGAAGCCTCAGGTCTCTAGGGCTCAAGGGCCTTTTCAGCTCGCTGATAGCGGCTGGACAGAGGGTGTTGCCACCGATGCCCATGGCTAATTTTTTGATTCTTTCTAGTAGAGACGAGGTCTGGCTAATGTTTGCTAAGCTGTGTCCTCTACAACTCCAGAGTCAAACAGTTCTTCTATTCTCAGCCTCCAAAGTGCTGAAGTTACCAGGCGTGGAGCCACCCCCACACCTGCTAAGAATATTTTTAGTTATTTCATATATAAATTGAACACCTAGGGGTGAAATAATAAACTTTTTTTTTTTTGAGACAGAGTTTCGCTCTTGTTGCCAAAGCTGGGAGTGCAATGGCATGATCTCAAGCTCACTGCAACCTTCCACCCCCCGAGGTTCGACGATTCTTCCTGCCTCAGCCTCCCAAATAGCTGGGATTACAGGTGTGCACCACCACAGCCAGCTAATTTTTTGTATTTGTAGTAGAAACGAAGTTTCACCATGTTAGCCAGGCTGGTCTCAAACTTCTGACCTCAGGTGATCCACCCTCTGGCCTCCCAAAGTGCTGGGATTATAGGCATGAGCCACAGCGCCTGGCCTAAGAAATAACTTTAAAACATGTAATGGGTTATAAGGTTTCACTTTATTTTCAGTTTAACTAACTTATACATGAATGTTGCAACCACTACTCAAGGCAAAAAGAAAAATATGGAAATGTAGGTATGTTTATCACTCACCATTTCAGAGCATAGTCTCCCAAATTCTCGTAAAAAACCCTCTGCTGTTATTTCTGCTCTCATAAATCTCATCCAGGGCCCATTTTCACCACCTTCCATCAAGGCCTTTAAAATAGTTCCAGAAGGGATACGATTCTGTACCTCCCATTCTATAGGAAGTAAAATATGCAAAAGTGGAATACATTGATACATGATGGGGTTTAGGGAGCTCAGGAAAATTACCATACCAGTTCCTATAGCCTCGCCGTACTGCCAGGGTGGATGCTGTTGGAAATTTGCAGACATTCACAAAATGCAAAATCTCAACCTTAGACACCCAGAGGAAGAACAATACTAATTTGTACGACAGAGAGCACACTGCTGTGAAGCATCAGGTCCTTAGTGCTTGCTTGAGAGGACTCTGGGCACTGCATGATGAATTTTCTTCCTTGGTCTCATATTCACCAGACCATATGTTAGGTCACTTACCTGGACCTGGCAGAGACTATGGAAGCACATGAAGGAATAAGCCAGATCCTGGTGGTCCCCAAAACATGCCCTTCCTTCTATAAGCTATAGTAATTCTTCAGAGCATGGAATGGATACACTGAAATGTTTGCCTGAAATGCTGTCTTTGTGGATAAGGAAGGAAACGTCTTTTTTTCAGAAAAAGGCTCACTCAGTCACCCAGGCTGGAGTGCAGTGGTACAATCTCAGCTCACTGCAACCTCCACCGCACAGGTTCAAGTGATTCTCATGCCTCAGCCCCGCAAGTAGCTGAGATTACAAGCATGCGCCACCAAGTCTGGCTAATTTCTGTATTTTCAGTAGAGATGGGGTTTCACCATGTTGGCCAGGCTGATCTCAAACTCCTGACCTCAGGTGATCCGCCTGCCTCAGCCTCCCAAGGTGCTGGGATTACAGGTGTGAGCCACTGCGCCTGGCCAAGAAGGAAATCTCTGTCCACAAAGAGATAAGGCAGTGGATGGATCAGCATCAGTATCTGTGGAATACTGGGAACATTTGTGCAAGGATTGTTTCTCCTCATCCACAGTTGCTTTTTCTGTCTACAGTACAGATGCTGGGGGCAAATATATACATACAACATTCATAATTATATATCTAAGACAAAATACACTTTACATATAGCTTTTGTTTTGGAATTAAAACACCTTTGTTGTTTTTTTCTGATAAAGTAGTGCCTGTGCACTGAAAATTTTTCAGACAATATATTTCATAGAAAGCTATACAAAAGAAAGTAGACTGAGTACAGTAGCTCACACCTACAATCCCAGCACTTTGGGAGGCCGAAGTGGGAGGATTGCTTGAGGCCAGGAGTCTGATACCAGCCTGGGCCACATGATGAAACCTTGTCTCTAGAAAAAATTTAAAAATTAGCTTGGCGTGGTGGCATGCACCTGTAATTCTAGCTACTTGGGAAACTGAGGTGGGAGGATCACTTAAGCCCAGGAGTTTGAGGTTGCAGTGAGCTAGGATGGTGCCACCGCATTGCAGCCTGGGGACACAGAGCAAGACCCCATCTCTTTTTTTTTTTTGAGATGGAGTCTTGCTCTGTCGCCTGGGCTGGAGTGCAGTGGCCGGATCTCAGCTCACCGCAAGCTCCGCCTCCCAGGTTCACGCCATTCTCCTGCCTCAGCCTCCCGAGTGCTGGGACTACAGGTGCCCGCCACCTCGCCCGGCTAGTTTTTTCTATTTTTTAGTAGAGACGGGGTTTCACCGTGTTAGCTAGGATGGTCTCGATCTCCTGACCTCGTGATCCGCCCGTCTCGGCCTCCCAAAGTGCTGGGATTACAGGTTTAAGCCACCGCGCCCGGCCAAGACCCCATCTCTTAAAAAAAAAAAAAAAAAAAGAAGAGAAAGGGGAAGGAAGGAAGGAAGGAAGGAAGAAAGAAAGGAAGGAAACAGGACAAGCAATCCTATCTTTCAGAAATAGCCAATGTTAACAATCTGGTATATGTCCTTTGAAAATAACGAGACTGTTAAAACTCAATCCAAAAAATACTTCTTTAATTTTAGAGCTAAAGCATATAGCATTTTTCACAGCCCCGGAGTTGGTAAGCATGTGAGGAAACTGGCACCTCATATGCTGTTGATGGGAGCGTAAACAAGCACAACCTCTGCAGACACAGCAATTTGATAATTTCTGTCAAAATCTGAAATGCACATACATTTGATGCAGTAATTCTACTTCCAGAAATTTCTTCCATATATATTTATGAAAGTAAGCAAAGGTTATGTACAAGGCTGTTTGTGCAGAATTGTTCATAATAAAAATAACTAGAAAAGTTAAATGTATATTAATAAGGTGCTTATTACATCAATTATGATATATTCAGATAACGGAATACCACACAGATGTTAAAACATATAAACTTGCCCAAAGGTCAGCAAAATATAGTTTGGGGGCAAATCTGTCTCCTATCTACTTTTTTAAGAGATGGGGTCTTGCTGTGTTGCTCAGGCTGGCCTCGAACTCCTGGGCTCAAATGAACCTCCACCTCAGTCTCCCTAGTAGCTGGAACTATAGGCACACACCAGCATGCCTGACTCTACCTATTTTCGTAAATAAAGTCTTATTGGAACACAGCCACACTTGTTTACTATTGTCTATTATTGCTTTCTTGCTGCAATGGTAGAAGTTAATAGTTATGACTGGCCGGGCGCGGTGGCTCAAGCCTGTAATCCCAGCACTTTGGGAGGCCGAGACGGGCGGATCACGAGGTCAGGAGATCGAGACCATCCTGGCTGACATGGTGAAACCCCGTCTCTACTAAAAAAATACAAAAAACTAGCCGGGCGCGGTGGCGGGCGCCTGTGTTCCCAGCTACTCGGGAGGCTGAGGCAGGAGAATGGCGTGAACCCGGGAGGCGGAGCTTGCAGCGAGCTGAGATCCGGCCACTGCACTCCAGCCTGGGCGGCAGAGCGAGACTCCGTCTCAAAAAAAACAGAAAATAGTTATGACTGAGAGTATGGCTCACAAGGCCTATCTAGCCTTTCTTTATTTTTTTTTTTAAGATGGGGTCTTAAAATACAAGTAGCATTTACAACAGCAAAAAAAAAAAAAAAAAGATGGGGTCTTGCTGCTGCCCAGGCAGGGGTGCTGTGGCACAGTCATGGCCCACTTCAGCCTCAAGCTCCCAGGATCAAGTGATCCTTCTGCCTTAGCCTCCTGAGGAGCTGGGATTACAGGTGCGTGCTACCATGCCGAGCAATTTTTTAATTTTCTGTAGAAATGGGGATCTCACTATGTTGCCCAGGCTAGTCTCAAACTCCTGGCCTCAAACAATCTCCCACTTTGGCCTCCCAAACTGCTGGGATTGTAGGCATGAGCCATCGCATCCACTATGTCTAGCCCTTTACAGAAAAAGTTTGCTAAGCCCCAAACTAGATCGTAGACATATGCCAACTGATATGAAAAAGATGGCAAAATATCATACTGAGTCAAAAAAAGGTATGGAACAGTCTACAGCATATGATCCAGTTTGTATACACACACACAGACACACACACTCACACACACACACACGGGCAATTTTTTGAAAATAAACAAGAAACTTTTCACAATGATAATCACTGAAGTCTGGAATCAACTGGGAAAGGGTCGAGGTGGCAGCAGGAAATTTCCTCTGTATTTTATACTCTTTTAGCAGTTACTATTCAATAAATGGGGTTGGCATAACTAGGTTTCAATATGGAATAAAAATTAAATTAAATAATCTTTCAGGCCATCACAAAACCAATTCCCAATACAGTAAATATCCAAGTCAGAAAAATAAAATTCTAAAAAATTGAAAACAATACAGAAGGCTAGGCATGGTGACTCATGGCTAAAATCCTAGCACTTTGGGAGGTGGAGGTGGACAGATTGTTTACACTCCCAAGTTCAAGGCCAGCCTGGGTAACATAGTGAAACCCTATCTCTACAAAAAATACAAAAATGAGCCAGGTTTGGTGGTGCAAGCCTGTAGTCTCAGCAACCTGTGAGGCTGAAGTGGGAGGACAGCTTGAGCCTGCGAGGCAGAGGTTGCAGTGAGCCAAGGTCACTCCACTTTACTCTAGCCTGAGTGGCAGAGTGAAATTTCATCTTGAAAGAAAAACAAAACTTTGGTACAGCTAAAACCATTATCAATAAAATCAAAAGACAATGCATAAACGAGAAAATATTCGCAAGTGATACAACAGATAAAAGGTTATTACTGGCCGGGCGCAGTGGCTCACGCCTGTAATCCCAGCATTTTGGGAGGCAGAGGCAGGAGGATTACCTGAGGTAGGGAGTTCAAGACCAGCCTGACCAACATGGAGAAACCCCGTCTCTACTAAAAATACAAAATTAGCCGGGCGTGGTGGTGCATGCGTGTAATCCCAGCTACTTAGGAGGCTGAGGCAGGAGAAGTGCTTGAACTTGGGAGGTGGAAGTCGTGGTGAGCCAAGATTGCACCACTGCATTCCAGCCTGGGCAACAAGAGCAAAACTCCATCTCAAAAAGAAAAAAAGGTTATTACTGAAAATTAGCAAGAAAAGTGAGCAATTCATGGAAAAACTGAACGACCAATAATATTAAAAAAAAAAAAAAAAAGAAAGGCTCACTACTCAGGAGGCAGGAGGATCACTTCAGACTAGGAGTTTGAGACCAGTCTGACAGCCTGGGCAATACAGCAAGATGCTCTCTCAGAAAACAAACAAACAACAACAACAACAACAAAACAAAGCCAGCCAGATGCAGTGGCTTGTGCCTATAATCCCAGCACTTTGAAACCCTGAGGCAGGTGGGTCATTTCAGGTCAGGAGTTCGAGACCAGCCTGGCCAACATGGTGAAACCCCATCTCTACTAAAAACATACAAAAAATTAGCCAGGCGCGGTGGTACACGCCTGTAGTCCCAGCTACTAGAAAGGCTGAGCCATGAGAATAGCTTGAACTAGGGAGCCAGAGGTTACAATGAGCCGAGATCACACCACTGCACTCTAACCAGGGTGACAGAGTGAGACTCCGACTCAAAAAAAATAAAAAATAAAAGGCTCAAACTCAGTCACAATCAGGCAAATGAACATTAAAATAACAGAAACAAACAAAAAAAAAGGCCAGGCCCAGTGGCTTACGCCTATAATCCCAGCACTTTGGGAGGCTGAGGCGAACGGACCACGAGGTCCGGAGATTGAGATCATGCCGCGGATCTCGGCTCACTGCAAGCTCCGCCTCCGGATTTACGCCATTCTCCTGCCTCAGCCTCCCGAGTAGCGACTACAGGCGCCCGCACCTCGCCCAGCTAGTTTGTTGTATTTTTGTAGAGACGGGGTTCACTGTGTTTAGCCAGGATGGTCTCGATCTCCTGACCTCGTGATCGCGCCGTCTTGGCCCCCAAAGGGCTGGGATTGCAGGCTTGAGCCCCGCGCCCGCCTAACAAAATTTTAAAGTAAAACATTCGAAATTCGAATCATTAATACCCTCGAATTCAATTTTTTTTTCAGATGGAGTCTTGATCTGTCACCAGGCTGGAGTGCAGTGGTGCTATCTGCACACTGCAACCTCTGTCCTCCTGAGTTCCCGCAATTCTCCTGCTCAGCCTCCTAGGATCTGGGATTACAGGCATGGTTTACCATGCCCAACTAATTTTGTTTTTTTTTTTTGAGACAGGAGTCTCCCTCGTCGGCCAGGTTGGAGTGCAGTGGTGCGATCTTGG